GGTTGCCTATGAGCACGCTACTCCTTTCTGAATTCGGAGTTCTCCTCTCACATGAGAGTTGAGTTCTCTGTTTTCCCAGAGCACCTGGAACCAGCAGCATCAGGCGAACTAGGCCCTTTCTCCGCCTCTCTCTCTCTCTCTCTCTTTTCTGGCTAGCTTGCAGTACACTTACCCTTCTGATTTCTAACGATCGTGCTGTAGGTCGAGCCCCTCTCGTTGAGAGCTGGGTGTTTGCTCCCTCAGCTAGAGATTTACTGCTAGCCATTCCAGCAGTATACCTTAGATCGAGTTGATGACTTCTCAAACATAGTGTTTTGGGATGCACCATTTCCATCTATGGGCTGCTCTTTCAGAGTACCACGCGGGCCCCTTAGAACGGTTTTAAAATCCATGTTATGGTAAGTGTGCACGTTAGTCTTTCTAAAATCCACACTGTGGTAAGTTTGCATGCTAGTACCCTGCGTTCTTTCTAAAATCCTGTATGGTAAGACCTACGCGCAGCAGCCTTGTGCTCTTTCTTGAGTGGTTTAAAACCCCGGTTCCGCCTTGGGCACCACTCCACCTATGTATCCTCTGTATACCTACTTTAATAGGGTGTTGCTACTAGGGGTCTGTTGAGACAGTTCCTTCAGCATATGCAGAGCATGCGGTAGCCCCTGTGTGACAGGCCAAGACTTAGTATGATTCTAGGCTCTTGGTCGTATTCCCTTAAAGGAATCTATTCCTGATTCCAAGCCTTGAGCTCTACCCCGGGCCCAGGGGTTCTGGCCCTAACAGGTACGTTTTTGGGGTATGTAGCCTAGAAGTGGATGATGTGTTCTCCCGGCACCTATTTATACTATAGTCGCACCGGTACTGACGTCATGGCAGTCGCCAGCCAACGTGTTGTTGGTGTTTTTTCAATGTATGCTTCAGACACGGGTCACGAAGAGGCGTTCCCCATAGCGACCCCTAGAGGACGCAGTGTCTCGTTCCCTACTCAGGGAACCATGGTTACATACGTAACCTGAGACGTTTGTGCTGTTAGTTCAATTTTCTATACCGTCCAGTTCGGCAACAGAAATGTCAATGTCAATCAGTAGCACTTGTTGAGAACTCCGTGTGGCTCGCCAGTCCTCACTCCCTCACGGGACTTTGAACGAAATCCGGGAATACAGAAACTCCATTCCGTGAAGCATCAATCTCCATACATCAACTCAGAGCTTGCAGCACACACTCGACAGTGCAACGATGAAACCGAATCAGAAGTAGAAAGAAGGAAGAAAAAACAAAAAAAACACAAAAAAAACCTGACCTACATAGATAGGTCAGGTGATAAATTTATGTTTATGTGTTCATTTGTAAAATGAGATCGACATTTTATTGCTATGTTAACAAGGTCACAAAACCATAATTAATATCAATTTCAGAACATATACATTTCACAACGTTTAACATAGCAATAAAATGTCGATCTCATTTTACAAATGAACACATAAACATAAATTTATCACATGTGGTCTTGAACATACATTCACAATTCATAAATGAACTCAAATACAGCATCCTTTTTTCACATTTCACTTATAAGAAATTTTCACACAGATTAACACATGAAATAACATTAACTCACCAAGACCACGGATGAACTTGACCGTTTTAATCCCTTGTAGCTCCAAAGAACTCAGTTTCCACTCGGTCTTTCACTCATAAACTTCATGAAATTAATTTCTAATCGAAAATGTCTTTTGCTTCTGTGCGAAACACTTTTAATTATTGGATAACACACCATATGTTTTAAATGAGGCGTCCTCTCGGTAATCGTGTGATGCCAAAACGATTTAACAGTCTCTTTTATTACATCAAACTTTGCTTCTAGTCTCATTACAGTGTCTCTGGGCCAATATCACTCAGTCGTTAATCAAATATTTCTATTTGATTAATTAAATTCTTACATTTTAATCGAAGAGACCTGAAACGCCTCCGCTCACTTCTGTTCCGCCGAAGCAAGAGAGAGCACGCATTAACAGCGTGCGAACTTCAGAGAAGGAAAAATGCGCTATACAGCATTCTCACTCGTGATTGGTCAATTCTTCAATATACAAAATACTCTTATTGGCAGTTTCAAAACTCATGAAAATGATGCTGCCTTCACGTGCAATCAGAATGATCGTAAATACGAGTTTCCTAATCGGAAATGAGACGTGAATGCCTCTCAAGTCATATTTACTACTGGGAAATTCGGAAATTTAGGTGTGTTCACGCCATATCGGAATTCCCGTAATTACGAGATTCCAACTTGTAAAAAGCGTTCACGTCCTCCTAGAACTCGTAATTACAACTTGTGAACTGGGAGTTTTCTGAGAGCTATGACTTATACCACGTGACCGCTGTACCACCTGACCACCGCAGGCTTTGTTTAGGCGTTGATAGTGTTGCCATAGAAAAGCATAATTCCGAGTCAGAGGACGTGAACAGCTCCGAGTAGACTGTCATGTGCTGTCATCTCGAAATTACGGTAATTACGATATGGCGTGAACCCCAGCATAATTTTGATACCAGAGTTTCCGAGTTGGGCGGGCCATAAACTTTAAACATGGTGGAGGGGACAACCATTGCTGCTGTCAATGCTATTCTCACAACAACTACATCACTTTGTCTTGACTCTAAAGTAGTGTATTTTATAGGCTATATATCAGCGGTGGCGAACTCCGGTCCTGGAGAGCCACAGCCCTGCAGAGTACAGCTCCAACCCTAATTAAAACTCACCTGCCTGTCACCCGGTACCATGACACATTTATTCCAAAATAAATCTGAATTTTCCTCAGACTGAGCAAAAGCAGTACTTAGTCCTTGTAACAAAGACTGAACCACAGAAATCAAAGGATTCCCTAAATGAGGATAGTGAAATTTCTTTGGGGGTTTGATCTGCCTTGCAGAGCATCTTACACCCTCACATCGTGGGTTTTCATCTTCTGGCATCCCTTCACTTGAACCATCTTCAGGTATCATCTCAGGTGTAGGATTGTCCTCCTCATCCTGAACAACCCTCAGTTCTTCAACTGGATTCACAACTACATTATCCAGTGTCTCAGGAGACCCATTAACAAACTCAGAGGTATCACAACCAACCTCCCCAGAGACTATTACAGTGTTGTCAGCTCTACATTCTGCAAGATCAACCTCTACACTCTCGGATTCCTCTCCATCCCTCACAGGTAAGTTCTCGCTCATTTCATCACATATTTGTTCATTTGCCTCACTAACTTCATGCTGTTTCTCTTCCAGGGGATCAACATTTGGTTGGCCTGAACCTGCTGCCTCAACCTCAACTGAATCTGCAACTGGGGAACACTCCAGATGACAGGAAGAACTTTCAGGTGTGATGCAACAAGAAATTACCTCTATTGATTCTCTAGGTACAAAACTGCAAGGAGATTCACTCTCTGAGTCTTCCTCATCATTCAAATTTTCTGTCTTGTCAGCCTTTTGTGCACCAGAGTGAGGTTTTGTTTGACACTTTGGACGCATGCTGGGTAAGGTAGTCTCTTCCAACTCTTTACCAACAGATAAAAACCCACAAGGTAAGAGCAGGTCTCGGTGCAGAGTGAGGATGGGACCATCCTTCCCCTCAGGACAAACGGTATACACTGGAACATTTTGTGCTTTCTTTAACACATTGTACACATCTGGTTCCCACTTATCCAACAGTTTTTGATTCCCCCTCAATCGAACATTTCTTACTAATACCCTATCACCTACTTCCCAATTCAGAAGTCACCACATTTCTGTCGAACCTCTTTTTGTTCTGTTCGGCTACTTTCCTGCTATTTTCCAAAGCTAACTTGTAGCTTTCTTCCAGCCTACTCTTTAGAGAGGTTACATACTTTGAGTGGGAATGGCACGGTTCATCATTCAAGAGGCCAAAAGCAATGTCCAGTGGCAACCGAGGCCGCCTGCCAAACATCAGTTCATATTGTGAGTAGCCTGTGACATTGTTTCTGGTGCAATTGTACGCGTGCACCAGCGGCTTGACATACTCCTTCCAATGAGACTTCTGTTTGTTTTCTAGGCTTCCCAGCATCTGCAATAAAGTTCTGTTAAATCGCTCTACTGGGTTTCCCCTAGGGTGGCAGGGCGTCGTTCAAACGTTACGAATACCAGCAATCTTACACAATTCCCGGATGGTGTTGGACTTGAAATCTGGCCCTTGATCGCTGTTAGCTTCTCTGGAAAGCCGTAATGCACTAAAAAATGGTCCCAGAGACACCGAACAACCATTTGAGCCTTCTGATTTTGAGTGGGAATTGCGACTGCGTATTTCGTAAAGTGGTCCGTAATGACCAGGATGTCTTTTGTGTTGCTGCTGTCAGGCATAGCCTCGGAACAGGAAGCTATATCCCTCTATAAAGACCTTAAAACCATCTGTACCAAGGGCGGCTTTCATCTAACTAAATGGATAAGCAATAGACGCAGTGTGTTGGCCTCAATACCTGAGGAGGAGAGAGAAGGAAGTTAAAGACCTGGATCTGGACCATGACTCATTACCTGTTGAAAGAGCACTGGGAGTGGGTTGGTGTGTCCAGTCCGACGCCTTTAAGTTCAGCATAACCATTCAGGAGAGACCATTAACCCGCAGAGGGATCCTTTCAACTGTCAGCTCTTTCTATGACCCTCTGGTGATCCAAGCTCCTGTGGTTTTCACAGCTAAAAGGATTCTTCAGGATCTGTGCCGGAACCGGCTAGGATGGGATGACGTCATACCAGCAGTGGTTGCTCAGCAGTGGATAGATTGGATAAAGAGACTACATCAGTTGGAAGGTTTCAGCATCAGACAACGTTTAAAACCTCTGAACTTTGGAGAAACAACCACTGCTCAGTTGCATAATTTTGCAGATGCAAGTGAGGAAGGATACGGTACTGTTACCTATCTGCTGCTGCGCATTGAACACTCTCAGATGAACAGCGCCTTCATAATGGGAAAATCTAGGGTGGCACCTTTAAAGCCTGTTAGTATTCCACGTATGGAGCTAACAGCTGCTGTTGTAGCAGCTCGTATGTACAAACTGTGGTGAAAGGAGCTAAGACTACAGCTCCAAGACTCTGTTTTATGGACAGACAGTACCTCGGTATTAAAATATATTAAGAATGAAACTTCAAGATTTCGAGTCGTTGTGGCAAACAGGGTCTCAGAGATTCTTAAGTTTTCTGACGCATCTCAATGGAGATTTGTGAACACTGTACACAATCCTGCAGACCTTGCCTCCAGAGGTGTGAGGGTGGAGCTATTCCTAAATAACAAAACTTGGATATCTGGTCACTCATTTCTCTTGCAATCAGAAGAAGACTGGCCTGTTAACCCAGATGAATTGCAACAACTTCCATGTGGAGACCCCGAGGTCAAGGTATCAACTGCAATTGGAGTTTCTGCAATAAGGGATGAGAATGATGCCGTGAATTGTTTGATCAACCGCACCTCATCCTGGACACGTCTAATAAGAGTGATGGGCTGGGTCCTAAGATTCAAAGCTTTGTTTTTGAATCTTAGGAAAATTAAGGAGTTCACTGCACATCTTACTGAGTCTGTGTCAGATGTAACTCAACAGGAAGATGCTCTCACCAAGGACATACATGATTCCAAGAACAAGCTCTGTGGTGGTTATCTCTCATTGGGAGAGATTAGAGAAGCTGAAATTTAAGTAATCATGTTCTGTCAGAGAAGAAGGTTCTCAGAAGAGTTCTCCTACCTCCAAAGGGGAGAAGGTGTGAAAAGAAACAGCCATATATATAAGCTCAATCCAATACTTGAAGATGGTGTGTTAAGAGTTGGAGGACGGCTAAGTAAGGCTTCCATGCCTGAAGAATCAAAACATCCTGCCATATTAGCTAAAGACCTTCATATTGCTGACCTCATCCTACAACATATTCATCGAGAGGTTGGCCATGGAGGTAGAAATCGTATGTTGTCAAGACTACGCCAGAGATATTGGATCCCTGGTGTTAGTGGTTCTATAAGGAGGATCTTGGCAAGATGTGTGGTGTGTCGGCGGCTACAGGGAGCTGCAGGTCAACAACAGATGGCAGACTTGCCTGAAGATAGAGTTTCTTCGGAAGAACCTACCTTCAGTCATGTTGGAGTCGACTACTTTGGCCCGTTTGAAGTCAAACGTGGAAGGAGTCTTGTGAAAAGATATGGAGTTATCTTCTAAGTGTTTGGCAATAAGAGCAGTAAACACTGAAGTTGCTTCATCACTGGACACAGATTCTTGCATTAATGCATTTCAACGCTTTATCGCAAGACGAGGACACAATTATTAACAGTAGACCCATCACCAAGGAATCCATAGATCCAAACGACTTGGAAGCATTAACTCCAAATCCCCTTCTGCTTCTTAAAACTAAACCGTGTTTACCTCCTGGGCTGTTTCAGAAAGAGGACATGTATGCACGGCGAAGATGGAAGCAAGTCCCATACATGGCTGACCTATTTTGGAAAAGGTGGACTAAGGAGTACTAACCACGATTGCAGGAACGACAGAAACGGTCAAAGATCAAGCGGAATTTCATTTCTGGAGACATCATACTTGTAGTGGATGATTCTGCGCCCCGCAACTCCTGGATCACTGGAAAGATAACCGAAGTGGTTCCAGACAGAAAAGGACTTGTGAGACAAGTCTGGATCAAGACCCAAACCAACCGTAATTGCAGGCCTGTAACCACGATCTGCCTTTTGCAGGAGTCAGCTGAATCCTGATTGCGGTACTTGGATATGACCTTTTGACTGAATTGACTGGACTATTTTTTTTACTTTTCCTTTAAAGAGAAAACAGAACATTGGATCACCTTTTTTATGATGGACTATAATTATTATTATTTTGTGTGTATTCCCCTGGATGTGTAATGTATATGCAATTATTACTGTGTATTAACTGTAATAATTAGGGGCCAGACTGTAAGAGCCAGGTATAGTTCTATTATTTTGTACACACATTTTTTTTTGTGGTAATTGTGGCACCTGGTGGTGGCGGAAGTAGTAAGAATATATCCTCTGTTCACCTGTGTGTTTGGGGGAGAGAGGGGGTGACGGGGGAAGTTTTATTTTTGCTGATCGCTAAAAGAGCTTCTAACGCTGTTTAATGCCGTTTATCATGACTTTTTGACACCATTTCATATGCCAGTGAAACAATTATGGAATGTATTGGATGCACAACCTTGTTTGTTTCTCATGCAAATAAATCTACAAAACGCAGTCTTTGGATTCATGATCATTCTCAGCAAGTGCGTCAGACAAGTTAGTTTCCTCTACTCAGCCTCTCGGCGGTGAAATTTATGGTCTTCAAAATAGTCGCCTAACACCCTTGTAGCTCCAAAGAACTTCCACTCGGTCTTTCACTCATAAACTTCATGAAATTAATTTCCAAGAGAAAATGTCTTTTGCTTCTGTGTGAAACACTTTTAATTATTGGATAACACATCATGGCCCGGTTTCACAGACAGGGCTTAGCTTAAGCCAGGACTAGGCCTTAGATAAACTAAAATGCTTAAGCAACTTTTTTGTAAAAATGCCTTAGAAAAAAACATTACTGGTGTGCATCTTGAGACAAAACAATGGCATTTACATATTTTAATATATGTCAATACAAGTTATTTTCAGCTATGACTAGCCTTAAGCCTTGTTTGTGAAACCAGGGGCATATGTTTTAAATGAGGCGTCCTCTTAGCAATCACGTGATACCAAAACGATTTAACAGTCTCTTTTTTACATCAAACTTTGCTTCTAGTCTCGATACAGCATCTCTGGGCGAACATCACTCAGTCTTTAATCAAATATTTCTGTTTGATTAATCAAATTCTTACATTTTAATCGGAGAGAGTTGAAATGCCTCTGCTCACTTCTGTTCTGCCGAATCAAGAGAGAGCACACTAACCGCGTGCGAACTTCAGAAAAGAAAAAAAAAAGCGCTATACAGCATTCTCACTCGTGATTGGTCAGTTCTTCAATATACAAAATACTCTTATTGGCAGTTTCAGAACTAATGAAAATAACTACTCCCAGCTCAGTTGAGTGTTGGTAACCTGGGTTACAGTCGCATTTCAAATTTACCCTTCATTGCTAAATTACTGGAAAGTACTGTTGCCTCTCAGCTTCAATCTTTTCTAATCTTAAATAATTTATTTGATCCCTTTCAATCCGGTTTTCGCCCACTCCATAGTACTAAAACTGCACTTGTAAACATAGTGAATGATCTATTACTTTCTAGTGACTCTGGTTCTTTGTATATACTTCTGTTACTTGATCTCAGCTCTGCCTTTGACACAATCTCCCATGAATTACTTATTTCTCGTCTCTCAGATTTGGGTATTTCTGGTGCTGCCCTTTCTTGGTTTTCTTCCTATCTCCCTGACAGTCAATTTTACATATCAGTAAAGGATCTTCGATCACCTATTGTTCCCCTGAAGCAAGGTGTTCCCCAGGGATCCGTTCTCGGGCCATTATTATTCATAATTTACATAATGCCTCTTGGTCAGATCTTACAACGTCATGGTCTAAATTATCACTTTTACGCTGATGACATCCAATTATACACTATCTGTACACCAGGCCTGCGTTCAGCCCCGACAAAACGGTGCAAGACGTTTTTTAAACGGAAACGGTGGTGCGTTGAACACTCTGTTCTGATGACGCAAGAGTTGCAACTATGGCAGCTGAGAAGGCCATTCTTTGTGATCTTTTTGAAGAATTTTTGGAGCCTGATGAAATCGGTATAAACACGTGTTTAATACTGCAAAATACGCTCGATGTTACAGTCACTGCCCTTGCCCTCCAGAATAAAAGAGAACATCCCAATTCGAGTGAAGGGATTTGTGGAAACTGTGGATCCTAATTATTGTGATCCAACATTTGCCTCGCATTTCAGGTGAAGGATAATCCACTTCTTACCTCCGAGACTGTGTTATGATCTATATGACCTTATTATTTTTATTGTGAGTATTAGGCTTATCATTATTGCTGATCACTGTTGTTGTGCTATGATATTGTAATATTTACCATTATATAATCAGAGGAATATAGAAAATTTCATGAAAGTGTCACTCCACAATACAATAGCAAAATATATAAATATGTATAGTATTTTTGTTACATTAATCAGTGTCTAGCACACCTTCCTAAGGAAAGGATATGGACCAGAAGACATTGCAATTACTAAATGATATTTAGACAGACTTAAAGAAGTTCCAGATCTATAATTGTGCTCTTATGGGAGAAGTCGTGGCCTAATGGGTAGAGAGTTGGACTCGTAACCCAAAGGTTGCGGGTTCGAGTCTCATACCGGCAGGGATTGTAGGTGGGGGGAGTGAATGTACAGCGCTCTCTTCCACCTTCAATACCACGACTTAGGTGCCCTTGAGCAAGGCACCGAACCCCCAACTGCTCCCCGGGCGCCGCAGCAAAAATGGCTGCCCACTGCTCCGGGTGTGTGTTCATGGTGTGTGTGTGTTCACTGCTGTGTGTGTGCACTTTGGATGGGTTAAATGCAGAGCACTAATTCCAAGTATGGGTCACCATACTTGGCCACATGTCACTTCACTCACTTCACTTTTCACTTTCACTTCACTTCACTTTATTATTTAAGTTATTTTGCCTTTAATGTAAATAAACATGTACAAACAATATACTTGCTCTTGTAAATTTATTTTGATGTTAATTACATTGTGCGAGCTGTGTCTTTAATACCGCATGGTTTATATACATGTTGCTGCTGATTGGGCTGACATTTTTGACACACCCACTAAACAAGAGAAAACATATCTCAAACCCCATTGCACAACGTTTTCAGGAAACATGTCGTTCAACCCGGAAACCGTAGCAAACGGTGCACATCGGTTTGAGCTTGAACTTGCCCCTGCTCTCCCTGCCCAAATTGACAAAATCTCTGCTTGTGTGAACGAAACAAAACATTGGCTCTACTTAAATTATCTGAACCTTAACATGGACAAAACTGAGATAATTTGTATTGGAACTTAGCAATATTAGCAATATTCCTACTAATTTCACCTGTGAGATTGCTGGTTCTTACATCAAACCATGTTTGTTAAAAATGTAGGTGTAATTTTCGATTCCTCTCTCTTCTTTCAGGCTCATATAAACTCTATCACCAAATCAGCATTCTTTCATCTGCGTCGAATTGCCCAGCTCCGTCCCTTCATCAGTGTTAAAAGACACTGAAACTGTTATCCATGCATTTGTTACATCACGCCTTGATTACTGTAATGGCCTCTTCATTAGTTTACCTGCCAGCTCCATTTCCAGACTACAATACATTCAAAACTCTGCAGCTAGAATACTTACCCACACCAAGCGTTCTGCTCATATCACCCCAATTTTGTATGTTCTCCACTGGCTTTCAGTAGCATATCGTATTAAATGGAAAAATTCTCCTGCTTACTTTCAAATCATTGCACATCTTGGCTCCCTCGTACCTTTGTAAACTGCTTCTCCCCTACACTCCGACTCGTTCACTATGATCTTCGGACTCTTCCCTTCTCGTTGTCCCTCGATATCGCCTCTCTTCAATAGGGGGCAGGTCATTCAGTGTTACTGCACCGAAACTCTGGAATTCTCTCCCACGTTCACTCTGTTGTGTTAATAATATTTCTGAATTTAAATCATTACTCAAAACTCACTTATTTTCTGAATGTTACTATCCTTAAGTTTTGTATTTCATGTGTTATGTTGATATGTTTACATGTTGCCCCGTCTATATAATGCTCTTTTACTGTTTCTACTAACTATTGTTTGTCATCATTGTCTACCCAATCAGTGTTATTCTTTTCTTGTGGAATGTACATTGTAAAGCGTCTTTGAGCCCTGGAAAGATGCTAATAAAACTTATTATTATTAACAGCATAGTGATAACGGAGTAAAATATTTTTTTTGTAAATGATCATATTTAGACCGCCCATCTTTGCCTTAATATTAAAAGTTATTTTATTACCTTACATGAGTTTTTGTGGTAGGACATATGATAAAATTCTACCTGTACTGTACCTGGTAACAGCTGGATGCAATGGCCAAAAATAGCATTAGTTTAGCATAGTATCATATCTAATAGCAATAAGTATTAGATAACACTAATACTTGATTAGCTTTTTCCCCCACATATGAATTACTACAAAGTCAAGTAATGATTTAAACTAATTACTTAAACGGTTCACTCCTAAACACCATTTCATGATTCACCAATGTCCATTCGATTGAAATGATTAGAGAACTGAATTTCATGTAACATATCATGTGATCTTGACCCTCTGAAATGTTTCAAGAATCTCTCAAATGTGAAAAGCAGTGACATATTTCAACTGTGCTTAAACAGGAACTACCGTAAGAGCTGACTCAGATTAGAAAAATGCTGACAAAACAAACAGCATTTTTTGCTGAACAGAGCTGGATGATTAGAATACAGTTTCCATTCAGAATGAAGAGAAATGAAAAACCTGTTCACACCACAGTGTTAGATCCCATCTAGAGGTTGAAAAGAAAGAAGAAAAAAAAAAACCCTTGGAGATCTTCACTCCTGTCCCAGCCAACAAGCACCACACAAACTTGATATGCATCAGTTCATTTATTGAGTCTCATTTAAAAAGGAAGCAAGAACATTTCGAGAGGGGACCAGGCCAAAACAACAAACAAAAGGAAGACTAAATGTGAGAGGAACAACCTTACCTTACAAAAAAAAATAAATAAATAAACATAGCTTTTACCTCACTCCCCATCTAACCAAAAACAGGAGAAAACATGTTTAAGCAAAGAAAAGGGCATCCACCTCTCTACTACTTCCAACAACAAAAAAGAGAGAAGTTTCAACAGAGTTAAATTATAAACAGATCAGCATTTAGTTAACAAAATAAACACTTAGTAGTACAAATTCAAGACTGCGGGCTCTCACATCAGTCTACAAACACACAAGCTCAACAATCACAGGAGGAAAGACTCAGCTTCCCGAGTTTCCACCTCAGCTTTATCCACCAGCTCCCATCTCGTCAGCCAATCAGGTTACCCCAAAAACTTGATTTTAATAAGACACAGCTGATGTCCATACCTGGCTGAAGAAATGACAGAGAGAGAGTACAACAAAAAACAAAGTACAACCATATTGCACACACAAAAAGAAATAAATGGTGACCACACACATCCAACAGAGAATTAAACATAAGAAATACGTCCTGGGACGTAACACCAGTCTAGTCTGTAGATTCATCAACACTGATCTCTTGACCAGACATCAGCACGCACTGGTCATCGGTATCTGCTCACTCACTGCACCATAATCAGCACGATTTCTCCCCAGAGCTATGAAAGATTGTACAGTATTAAAACCGATATAATGTTCTTGTAAATAGGATTAATTTTACATATATTTATTCACACTTCACATTTGTTTGATAAATATTATGGATAACCGTATCTTGTAGTCTGTATCAAATGAAATCAAAATAATGAAGAAAAAAAAAATCTCACCATCATCAAAATCTCTATCACCATGTTCACACATTTCTACCATCAAATACTGTCCATAGATTTTAAAATGTCTTTAAACAAGGATATTTAAAAACAAGAGCTTTAAAGCTAGAATGATCATGCTGAATATTTATAGCTCACCATTCGATCCTTTCTTTTTGCTGCGGCACCGCCAAAGAATCCCAATGAGAGCTAGAACTGAAACTACAGCTAGAACTAAAACTAAAACTGTTACTACTGCTATAACAGACCACTGAGATTCTGTTTCAAATGTAGAACATTTTCCATCTGTAGAATGAAAATAAAAAATAATAAAAAAAACTCTTGAGTTGAGGCACTATACTGTAATTGTTTGTGACCAGCAACATTAATCCACTTCAGCATTATTAAATGCTACAAATATGACTGCTACAAAAAGTGACTGTGTTTATGGTGATATTTACCCCATTCTTCTGAAACTGGTTCTGTCAGACTGCTGTGAATGACAAAACAGTCATAAGATCCTTTATAGTTTATGTCGATCTCTACACTGGTGTTCATCTGAAATGTTTCATTAGCATTTGGTCTGATTCCAGAATATGTTTGGTTGTCAAGAACAGATTCATTCAATCTGATGTACATCTCAATATCTCTGGGGTAGAAACCAGTGGCCAGACAGCTCAGAACCAGCTTACAGTGATCATTAGGAGCTCTCCTCGCAGAAATGTAAACATCGGGTGAATCCGGAGAAAAAGGCAATGCAATTAACAAACAAACATTCTCAAAAAATTATTCTGGTATTTGTGCAGTGAAAACATTGGGTTATATTCCACAAAAAAATGCAAAAAAGTCAAATGCATTCTGAAAGACATGAGTATAATTTATTTTGGCCTTTTTTAAATTCTCTCTCTAATGGTATCTCCTATAGTTACTAGATATTTGATAAGATGACATGCAATCTGACAATCCAATGAGTCCAGATGCAATCCAGATGAACATTCTTTGATATGCATGAAGCATCAGATTTCCTGATGCAAACGTGTAGAGAAAACTCCTGCATGTATGAAGCAAACTGTCACGACTTCCCCTGTGTTTTGTTCAAGAACCCTTATTTTGATATTCTGTTGTCTTGCTGTTTCTTGTCTTCATTTCCTGTGCTTTAGGTTCTGTTTGCCTTTGTTTCCTTAGTTACCATAGTAACTCATTACCCCCACCTGTTCGTTGTTAGCCGGTGTATATATAAGTGTATATATTCGGTCTTCATTTGTTGGTCGTTGTCCTTGCATCTCTTTTGTGAAGCCGTGGCATTTTTTCATTGTCATTGCTGTTTGGTTTCTTGGTTGGACTTTGTCATCCCTGTTCGAGTCTCGGTTTTATATTTGGATTTTTTTCACTTGTGTTTCAAATAAACTGCTGCAATTAGGTCCACACCTCTCTTCTTCTCGGTGCAACTGAAACACAAACCTTGAACCTTTACCAATTCAAAAAATTTATTTTTGCTGTGAACGGTGCCAGATTTAGATGCAAAGCCATAACGTTAAAAGACTCAAATGAGAATATTCTGAACCTGTCCTCAAAAGTTTTTCATTTAAATCACTAGTATTTAATTATCACTGAATGATGATTAACTGCCTCTGTACAGAAACAACCTCCTGGAGTTATTTTGTCAGCAGTTGAGTTTCCATGTTTTAAGTGTTCATTCCATAGGCGTAATGGTTTTTCTACTGTACAAACTTTATTTTGTATCATCTACCCCTAAACCTACCCCTCACACAAAACTTCATTCTATACGATTTATAAGCCGATTTTCCTCATGGGGACCCAAAAAAAAAAAAAAAAGTCCCCACAAGGATTTCGGATATTGCCAACATTTTGTCCCTATAACAGAGTATACCTGAACTAAAAACACACACAGAGTCTAAATAAAGTGATCTGATTAAAACATACTCTCATGCGTGTTGTTAAATGTGGAGATCCAGTCCATGCATTTCTCAACATAATTCTTGATGAACTGGTTTCGTTCTGTTTGCTGATCCCATTTCTTTTTGGTTTCTTTGGCTTTGGGACTTTTAACAATCCACTGCAGAGTGTCAGAATCAAAGGCCATAAAATCTTCTCCATCAAATCCATATTCATCAAAGGCTCTCAGACTTGTCACTGTTCCATCAGGAAATTTCTCCACTTCACAACCAATTATTCTCCGAAATGTATGGAGCTCTAAAATCGCAGAATAACAGTGATGAGAAGCTAGTAAGACGTACACACAATTTCATAACAGGTCTGATGACTGATAAGAGAAAAAGCATGAAACTCACCAGAACACTGTGTGCAGTTCGAGAGAGTGTATAGCTGATCATTGTACCAGTAACTAGAGACACATAGCTGTACAAGAGCATCAGTCTCGTCATATGTATTCAGAATCAGTCTTATCGATTCTGGAACTTCCTTACTGTCATCTGAGATCCGTCTGTCATCAACCACACCCACAGCACTGTACTCAGGTAATACATCTTCTTTGGTCAGGGCTGTAAACATGTAGTGCAGGTAATGTCTCTCTGAGGAACATAAACACAAACAATAAAAACATCTTTTAACGGGACAGAAACTCATAAAAATCTTTAAGTCATTTGAAACGGCCACAGTCTTTGTAAGTAAAACGTCTAGGTTACTTGTGTAACCCTCGTTCCCTGAAGGAGGGAACGGAGACGTTACGTCAGTCGTGACTGACGAATTGGGATCTCGCTCGACTGGGCCAATAGGGCGCTACCAAGAGAAGCTGCTCCTCGTCCTCCCTGACCTTGCACAATGTCTGTGCGAGAAGGCTCACTGGGGGAATAAGTGTCAAGTGGCATTGTCACTTCTGTTTTAGGTTCTTCACGCTTTTACGTTCATGTTTTCATGTCTATTAAACAAAAAGTAAACAAACAACATAAAGAGAACTAAAACACTTAACTTGAAAATAGTTTCCAGTTCCTGTTCCCTCATCTGATCATCATGTGCTTTCTGTGTCTGTTCTTATGATTAGTTCCATCTGTTAGTTGGTTGTTGCATTTTGATTTGGTTTAGATAATAGAGCCTTACACATTTCAATTATATGTTAGCTGTAATTTTACTACGTACTATACAGTCATTTCAAGGGACGGGCTGCACTGCAGTATGCATGCATGCATTTTCTGTTCCACTATATTTCTTATTGTAAAGCACTTTTGGTCAACTGCAGATGGGCTCTATAAATATAGTTTGACATGACTTCAAAACAGACTTTATTTCTCAAGCACAGTAAAACCATTAGTTGAACATTAGGGGCAGTGGCCCAAACCAAAAAAAGGGGCACTAGGTAAGGTGGGTGCTTGTTAATACAAAATATCCAGTTGTTACAAATATAAAATTAAAAGAGAAGACAGCACACTCTGTAATAATTTCAGACTTATTGCAGATGTTTTGATAAGAGTGGGTTCTCCCTCACTCTCTGAGCCTGCTTCTGCCTCATCTTCAATGGAAGTAGGGGAGCGTGGGGTAAGTTGACCCACCCCCTGTATCTTATCTGGGCAACTGTACCCTTTTACTGTCATGTGACCATGTATTTTGGAATCACTCATAATTTCTGCCAGACTGTGAAAAGGAGAAACACATGGGGGGAATGGAAGGCACCCATTTACTTTAAAAGCTTGTCAAAGTAAAATTTTAGCATAACAGATGTAATGGTTGTTACATCAAAGCAAATTTATCCAGGTCTAAAAATATTTATGATACATATAGGTGATGTAGCAACATATAAAACCATGCAAATCAGTTAGCTAAATATTAGCCTGAACTGGTAAGAAACAGTAGCTATTTTTTTTTCAAAATGCCAGCTACGGGGCGAAGTGAGCCAAATGTTGTGGGGTAAATTGAGTCAGCGTTTTAAAGGGGTCATGATGCGATTAAAATTTTTCCTTTCTCTTTGGAGTGTTACAAGCTCTTGGTGCATAAAGAAGTCCTGTAAAGTTGCAAAGACTAAAGTCTCAAATCCAAAGAGATATTCTTTATAAAAGTTAAGAGTCAGCCACACCTACCTAAAACGGCTCGTTCTAACACGCCCCAACATACCTACGTCAAACACATTTCATTACACCAAATACACAAAATAATGTTATTTTTAGCATCATATGACCCCTTTAACTACCCCACGATAAGGCACTGTAGTTAAGTTAAATATCTGAATTATAAACTGGTGTTTTAATGTGATATTACTGGTTTATCATATATACATATTATTTATAGTTGATTTGATAGGGACAGAGTACAAGTGCACCAAACCCTTCTCTGATAAGAACCAGAAAATGCTTTTCATCACATTATAATCAGATATATTTTTCCACCTGTAGTCACTAATGGCCAACAAACTCTCTGTTTAGTCTGTATTTAGGAAGGCTACAACTTTGGCGTTACCCCACCATAAGGCACTGTATTTAAGTTAAATCTCTGAATTATAAACTGGTATTTTAATGTGATATTACTGGTTTAGTTTATGATATATTATTTGTAGTTTATTTGATAGGGACAGTGTACAAGTGCACCAAATCCTGATAAGAACCAGAAAATGCTTTTCATCGCATTATAATCAGATATATATTTCCACCTGTAGTCCCTAATGGCCAACAAACTCTCTGTTTAGTCTGTTTTAGGAAGGCTACAACTTTGGTGTTTCAGAAATGCAAACAATTAAATATTAAAATGTAAACTTCATTTGGTTGGTTTTATGTTGTTAAAGTTAACTTTATGTTCTATATATACTGTTTGTAAAAGGAAATTATTAAATTAGTTTTTAAATTATTATTTATTTCACATGGGTTTGAATCAGATTTGGCCAGATAGATGGTCATTTTACACCCAGATGGTGCATCTTATCCACTGACTCGACTCGGGTCAACTTACCCCTACCCCGGGGCAAACTGAGCCATGGGAACACTTTTTTTATAAGAAGCCATACTTTTAGAACCCTTTGCATAGATACAGATACATAGATGATTTAGCTGCTGGCTTGCTGGAGCTTTGTATTTATGTTTGCAATGTTGAACTGCCTTCAGCAGCCTCCCTTCGCTCTTTCTCTCTGTCTCTGTCTTCTTTTTTGCGAATGCATTTTTTTTTGTCTACAAAGTGTGATTTGTTGTGTTGTAAAATGTTGTGTTATTTATATTAGATCTGATCGGGTACAACAATTTGATTAGACTAGTTCTAAGAACGTGGATATTTTGTTGTTATCGCTTTTAGAAGGCCGAGAGCAAATGATTACCGACAGAAATACAAAAACAAACTACCAAATGACTAATTCAGCGACTCATCCACTGACTGTAATGTGGATTGTAAAGCATCTACCTGTTAATGGGACTGTGGTCTCCAGAGAGGGGCACACCGATTGTGAGTGATGCTGCGGAGCGACGGGAAAACGGAGCGTATGAGCGGAATCAGCGGGTTTTACCGGAGCGGGAACAGACCGCTTTGTGCTGGAGTGATGGGGTAGCCACCGGGCCACCCCCCTGTGAACGGCCCCCCATACTAAAATAAAGGAAAGTGCATAAAAACTATAGCTCTATAGACCGCAATGCAATTGCAAAAAAAAGAGAAACCATAACAATTATAAGAGATTCTATCAGGGCCGGCTCCAGACATGGGCAGGGGTGGGCTGAGCAACAGCCGGCTCGACTGTATATCAAGTATTCGCCTTTTTTTTTTCTTTTGTCAAATTCCGCCGTTTTGAATTGAAAGTTGGGCTGTCATTTACGTGATTCATGTAATTCATAATTATTGTGAAGACAACAGCATTTTCTGTCTTGCGTCTTCAACATATTAGGAATACAACTAAAATTGAATGGGTGCATATTTTAAAATAAAAATATTATTTGCAGTTCAGATTGATTACTTTACCAAAAATCGTATTATTTATTTAGTTCCTTTACCATTACCATAGTGGTGTGGTCTTAATATTTTCCTCAAAACAATAGTCCCCCCTAATGTTCTAGATATGGCCTTGTTTGGTATAAATAAAAAAGTTAGTTGAAAAAAAACACCAGTGTAGAAACAATGATACAGAGAAAGAGAACAAAGAGTTTTTTTTTAATTATTATTATTAAATAAAGAAAAAAAAAGTGTATTTTGTTGTGAAAGTGCATGATATTCTAGGCTTTTTTTCCAGTATACATATAACAGCCTAGTTAATATAGTTAATATAGCAATATCAACAGTATAAATATCTAGACTTTTCCCCTTGCAATACCCCCCCAGATTTTTGGTCTTGTTTCAAGCTTAAACTTGCTTAATTTTGATTCTTTTTTTTTTTTTGTATAAAACAAGCCTGCGCAAAAAAAGCTTAGATTAATAGCTTAGAATTATATCAGGTTCAGATGAAACTATTCCAGTTTTGTCAACTATCCGGTTGTTCCCAAACGCACTTTAAACTCACTGCACAGTGCACAGGCAAAGATTGAGTTCACTGTGAACCGAGCCGCGGAAAACAGCGACCACATCACAAGATGAAAGTGCGCGTTTCGCTTTAAATAATCGAAGCCCTTCGATTTTAGTTCGGTTGACAAAGCAATGCAGCGCTACATTAGAGCCCTGTTATTTTATTACGAAAAGTGTAAACATATTTCAGGTTTATTATAAAACCGCGTAATGAGTATTTTAAATAGATATAACCGCTTCTCTGCTGCGGATCAGAAGTAAATAAATGAACTTACCTAGTTTGCCTTGATACCCATCGCTTAGACAAAGGTGAGAAATAAGCCAAAGCCTTACTACGCCTATAAAGAGAAGAGAGCATGCGAACCATTTGGCCATTATAGCCGCGCGCTCTGAACGCATCTCTGGTTGTGCTTTAATTCTGCAAGTGTGCGTCACTGCAGGTCAAAGTGCCGAGACGTCTTTAATTGGTCGGAAAAGTTAAAAATGAAGGCGGGCCGTAATACTATTGGCCCTCAGATTAAAAGGAAGTGATAAATCCAACATAAAGTATAGGCTACCTTAAATATTCCACCCAGCTGACACTTTCTGTGGTAAAATGAGTTTTTCCGACAAGCAAATACAATATGAAGACTTTGTTCCATAGAACTGCACTTCCTAACAGAATGCCCCAAATACACAGATATACGGTATACATGTATACATGATAGTGTATACACAGATATACATGTCGATGCGCAAAACTCCGCATTTGAACAGTCAATAGACTGACTTTGATGGATGACTTGGATGGATGGATGACACTGACTTGGATCATGACAACGGCACTGTCATGATCCAAGGCTCGAAGCCTGCCCTCCAAGCATTTACAGTTGCCTTTATACAAATTAAACAGCAGGCACATCTTAATACAAGTTTCATGCAGGATCATAAAGATACAAATACAAACTCTTCTCCTGTAAAAGACATCCAAAAGAAGACAACAACTGCAACAGCCTTAATTCAATCTCCCATGTCAAAAATGAAAGAGAAATTTTCACTCCTGGAGAGACTTGTCACTCATTTTTCTTTTTTGAGGCATTTTGAAACTCTCTGCTTCTGTCTCTATCTCTAAATCCACGCAATCAATTTCACTTCTTTTCTGTACAACCTGTGTATCATCTTTTCCAGTAGTACCACATTCTCTTTCTTTTTCAGAAATTTTTGAAAGTTTTTCATCCAATAGGCCTACTGCAGTTTCAGCCATATCATTTTCTCCACCCTTTTCTGAGTCCATTCCTGTCCCGACAACCTCCACTCTAGGTGTCTTGTCACAAGTAACCATTTCCGTCTCTCTGCTGGATTCATCCTGTACACCTGCACTCCGTAAATCCACACTAGCTTTACTTGTGCTTGGATAGGAACCATCATCCCCTTTCTCAGTGACTCCCTTTTCTGGGCAATTACGAATCAAATGTCCTGTTTTTTTACAACCAAAGCACTTTGTTTTAGCAGTTGTCACAAAAATGACATAATCAAAATCGTCAACTTTAAAACTAAGTGAAAGATCCAATTCCTCATCATCCTGAACAATCATATATGCAAATCTCCTAAAAGACACAATATGTTTCAACAGAGGAGATGTCGCGCTAATCGGGATCTTTTTTATTGGTGAAATCAATTTTCCATATCGTGATAGAGCTGTTGTTATTATCTCGTCACTGAGAAAGGGGGGAACATTAGATAAGGTGACTCTTTTCGAAGGCAACGAGAGGGGAAGAACAGAAACAAACTCACCATCAATCACAATTCCCTTCTCAACTACTTCATTCACCTTTTCAACGCTATTCAGAAAAATCACTGTAGCGCTATTCATCCTAGATGCTGATAAAATACATCCATGTCCTACAACCTCACCAATCGCCAGGCAGATCTTAACCGCATGGCGCCGCGTGAGTGTAGACAAAACTCGAGTAACCGGGGCCGTCCTGCTTACTCCGGTAAGCAACCGGTAGCACACGGCCCAAAACTATAACAAAAATAACACTAACAACAAAAATCACAAAGAAGAAAAAGACGACAGAAATCACTCATTCACTCACCACGCACACGCTCACAGCACTCAGCACTCAGCCCACTCGCGCTCAACACCCTTTACACCAAATACACAAAATAATGATCTTTAACAAACCATATATAATTTCCTTTTTGGAGCTATTAGGTGAGAAAGGTTTGGCTGTTACCTAATAAACATCTCAAAACAAATAAGATTAAGGAAATTTAATTTAAGATATTTTAAGACATTTTATCCTGTTAAGCAAGTTTAACCAAGACATGGACGTAGACTGTTAATTTTGTTTATTACAACCAGAAATTGTCAAATTGTGTCAAACTCATATTTTCTGGTATTCTCTCTCTCTCTCTCTCTCTCTCTCTGTGTGTGTGTGTGTGTGTGTGTGTGTGTGTATATATATATGAGGGGCCGTATAAGCCATAATTCATTCTGCCAGTCTCACACACTTACATTCTCCTTTCACATACATTTCTACTGTCTCACACACACACACACACACACACACACACACACACACACACACACATACACATACACACACACACACACATACAGTATATATACACTTACATTTCACTGCTGGTCATATAATCTCTATATAACCATGTATGTGACAAATAAAAAGTCTTCATTCCTATGACACATTATGTTGTGGGAAAAGTGAAATCGAACACTGTCAATAGAGAGAAATACAAGTGATTTGTCCTAAGGCAATAAACACGAGAAGTGCATATAATATAAAGTTTGAAACACTGTCTAGTACATACAAGCTACAACTCGAGAGCATTACTTTACGTTATGAACTGAAATGGACCTGAAGAGAAGGTTTATCAGAAACATGTTTCATTCAAGTACCAATGACAAAAGCTAAAAATCTTTTTTTTTGTTTTTATATAATATACATTCTTGTATATTCATTTTCACAGTCAACAAAAATTAATTGCTTGAATGCCTGAAGACTGTAGCACTTGCAGTCCTGTTTGGTGAAATTTAAGATAATAAGTAACAACACAAAATACACAGCTACTTTGTACTTTACAGCTGCTGTGTGATGATTATTTCAGTTATTAATTGTACATTGTTTTGCTTTTTTTTTTTCATAGATGTTTTCAGAGCATTCATATGAGTTGTAAATCAGTGAGGATCTTTCTACCATGCATATCATGTTCCAGCATGTCCAGTACATAAACATACACTCACGCTCAAGACATTTATTTCTGATATTGCACACTGAACAAAACACATTGTCCAAACAGCACTGTACAGTACATACTGTCATTTAAGATTGACTCAAAATCAAGCTTTGATTAGACACGAGTCATAGATTCAATGCTTTACTAATGTGGATTCCATGTATACAGACAATGGACATCAACATATACAATAAAAGGGAACTGATTTTATGAAATTAAAGTATAAAATGTCAGAATAATAATTCCCTCTTCACTATCTGAAAAAAAAAAAAATCAATAATGCTGTAAATCTGATCCTTATATAGTAGCTCTTCAAAAAAAATCCATATATAAAAGTTATGTTTTAAATATAATTCTTCAGTACTTTGCACCTTGGCATCTTTGTGTGTGCTTGCTTTTTTTGTCATTATAAAACAAATATATGAGCAAATTATTATGAGCTCTGAACAGTTTTCCTGAGCAATGAGATGCAGTTATGTCACGAGGAGGTGATTTATCAGAAAATGCACATAGCACTCTAAATAAAAATAGCTTAAGATAAGGGATAATTTCACTTATTTTAATATGCAGTACACTAGAAGTCATTGGTAGTTTGACTTTGTACCAATGGCATGAGTTTGGGGGCGGGACTACAGGTATTTGTTTGAAAGTCATTATTTTTCCAGTGCTGCAGAAATCACACACTTCACCTTTAAGAAAATAACAAACAACACAAGATATAGACTACAACAACTGTGAATACATCTCAGAGACCAGAAACAGTTGAGCGTGAATTTCTTCATTTGCTTTGAAAAAGCAGCTTAATGAATTCAGTTGTACAGTAATCAGTTTGGTCAGAAGCATTAATACTATAAGCTATTATACACTGTTTCATAATTGACCATGTCTGTTCACCAGAGAGAACTATTTTTCATGTTACACATTTTATGGTATGGTTTCAAGAAACTCTCAAATGTGAAAACAAAAAGTATGAGCATAAAAAAAGATAATAAGTGAAGTCTGTCATGCAATATTCTGATTACAGTGAAAAACAAAAACAAACTTTTTTTTCTTGCAAAATGGAATGTAGGGATACTATTTCTCTTTAGAATGCACCAAAATTAAAAAATATATATTTAATTTCTAATCAGTGCTCATTAACCTGTTCACACCCCAGTTCATCACTCCTGAGCCCTTGATCAAAACACATGACATTAATGCACCTGCAGTTTGGACTGAATTTGGATTTGAGTTTTCCTACTCTCTTCACACAAAGACAGACAGTGAACGTGGTGTGGAGACACGTATGTGTGGAGGAGGATAATATGTGTCGACATCATAAAAATACTCTCTCTCTATATATATATATATATAAATAATAATAAAAATAGTCTCTTTAACACTAGTGTTCCCTATTCTTTTTCTATTCTATCTACTTGTTTTCTTTTTCTTCATTATAAAAAAAGTTGCGTTAGACTGACTGAGACTTGTCACAGCACTTACACGTTATTGCTCTTTTGTTGGTTTTGATTGCTTCTATTGTCCTCATTTGTAAGTTGCATTGGATAAAAGCGTCTGCTAAATGATTAAAGATAAATGTAAAATCATAACTTCTCATCTTATATATCCCACTGGTAACTTCACAGACCTAGAAAAGATAAAACATATGATCAAAACCTCATCTCTAACATATACAGATATCATGTTCTCATTAATGTTTATGTCAAGCTGCACTGACGTCACACTTCTCATTCATTTGTTATAATCTAATATCCATCAAATAAAATCATCATCAAAATCTCTATTTTGTTTTTGTTTTATTTGACCATCCTTTCTTCATACATATTAAAATGTCTATAAAACAAGGATATTTAGCGGTTTAATGCAACAGTGATCGTGCTGAATATTTATAACTCACCATTTGATGATCTCTTTTTGTAGATGAAGTAACCAATCACAATGAGAACAACTAGAAATGCGGCTGCCACTGCTACTCCTGCTGTAACAGCCTGCGGAGAATCTGGTTCACAGTTAAGACATTTTCCATCTGCAGAATGATAATAATAAATAAAATCACATTTTCTAATAACTGTTTTTTTTTTTTATAAACATTATAAACTATCAAAATGCATTAAGGCACTTTAAACGTAATTGTTTGTGACCAGCAACAATAATCTATTTCATTATTATCATGTTCTCCTGTTACAAATATGTGAGAGACTGTATTTATGATGATATTTACCCCATTCTTCTGAAACTGGTTCTGTCCGGCTGCTGTGAATGACAAAACAGTCATAAGATCCTTTGTGCTTTCTGTCGACCTTCACACTGGATCTGAGCTGAAAGGATCCATCAGCATTTGGTCTGATTCCAGATGATGTTTGGCTCTCAATGTTAATTCTGTTCAATCTGATGTTCATCTCAATATCTCTGGGGTAGAAACCAGTGGCCAGACAGATCAGAACCAGCTTACTGTGATCATCAGGAGCTTTTCTAGCAACGATATGAACATCTGGTGAATCTAGAGCAGAAAATAATAACAATGCAATTAACAAACAAACATTAAACTTTCTGAAACTGCTTTCTGTGCTGTCAAAAAATGTCTTCTTCATTTCCTTAAAGGGGTCATATGGTGCGATTAAATTTTTTCGTTTATCTTTGGAGTGTTACAAGCTCTTGGTGCATAAAGAAGATCTGTAAAGTTGCAAAGACTAAAGTTTCAAATCCAAAGAGATATTCTTTATAAAAGTTAAGAGTCAGCCACGCCTACCTAAAACGCCTCGTTTAAACATGCCCCCACATATCTACGTCACGATGTGGGAAGATTTGCATAATGCGCCCAAATGTTCACGCAAAGAAAGAAGCGTGGTTTCAGGAACAGCAGTCGTGTTGATGCAGCATGTCAGGGAGACACTGTTGTTTCAGTGCGAAAGCAAAAGCACTTTATTTGGCCTTCCGGAAGTAGATGCATTTAGGAATCTGTAACGGAAGAGGTCTGACGCAACAGGTTAGTATATATAAAACTGGTTTATTTGGTCACAGAGAGTACAGGGGTAGGGTCCAGAGGATGGGATGGTGAGTGAGTCGTTTGTAGAATCGATCAACTATTACCAGGATGCATGTGTTACCTTCAGAGGGTGGTAGGTCCGTGACAAAATCTACTCCTAGGTGTGACCAGGGGCGATTCGGCACTCGTAGAGGGACGAGTTTGCCCGATGGTAAGTGGCGCGGGCTTTTGGACATGGCACAGTCTGGACATCCTTGCACGAACCTTCTCACGTCCCTTGCCATGTTGGGCCACCAGAAGCGCTCTCGTAGCAGCGAGAGGGTGTTGTTGGCCCCTGGATTGCCAGTGCCTCGGGAGGAGTGAGCAGAGTGAATCAGCGGGGTGCGTTGGGTTCGTGGTACATACTGGCATCCAGAAGGACAGCCCGGCAGATTGTGGGGAGCCGTGTTTGAGGCCACTGAAGGGGCACTCCATTCAATCGGACTGACGATCATCCTTGGTGGGATGATACTTTCCGGTTCTTCTGGGCCTTCCACAGGACTATGAATGCGTGACAAGGCGTCTGCCTTGACATTTTTGGGACCAGGGCGATACGTAACGGTAAAGTTGAACCTGGTAAAGAATAACGCCCATCGTGCTTGGCGGGGATTTAGACGTTTAGCCTCACGAAGATACTGGAGGTTTTTATGATCGGTCAGCACGGTGAATGGATGGGCTGCCCCTTACAGCCAATGCCTCCACTCCTCTACGGCCAGCTTGATGGCTAGTAGTTCCCTGTTGCCGATGTCATAATTAACCTCCGCCGGGCTGAGCTTCCTCGAGAAGAAGGCACATGGGTGGAGTCGGGCTGGGTTCCCCTGCTGCTGGGATAACACTGCCCCCACTCCAGTAGTGGAGGCGTCGACTTCCACGACGAATGGGAGGTCGGGATCTGGATGGACTAGGAGTGGGGCGCTAGTGAAGGCTCTCTTGAGGGAGGAGAAAGCTTCTAAGGCCGCGGGTGTCCAGGACAGAGACTTGGGTTTCCCTCAGAGTAGGTTGGTGAGGGGGCTGGTGATCCTGCTGTAGTCTAGAATGAAGTGACGGTAGAAGTTGGCAAATCCGAGGAATCGTTAGAGCTCCTTGATAGTAGTGGGTTCTGGCCAGGAGGTTATGGCTTCCACCTTCCCCTCGTCCATCTGGATACCGGTATGATCAATGTTATATCCCAAGAATTGTACCGTGGGTTGGTGGAAGATGCACTTTTCAGCCTTGAGGAATAGGTGATGTTCTCTCAGGCGTTGGAGGACCTCCGCAATGTGCTGGCGATGTTCGGCCTGGCTCCGGGAGTAGATGAGGATGTCATCTATGTAGACAATTACGAATCAATGGAGAACCTCCCGGAGCACCTCATGCATGAAGTCCTGGAATACGGAGGGGGCGTTGGCAAGTCCATAGGGCATGACCAGATACTCGTAGTGGCCAGTAGGAGTCACAAATGCAGTCTTCCATTCATCCCCCTCACGTATCCGGATGAGGTTGTAGGCACTGCGGAGGTCCAACTTGGTAAAGAGGGTAGCCCCCCGGAGATGTTCGAGGGCATTAGGGACGAGGGGTTAGAGGATATCGGAACTTGATGGTTATGTTATTTAGTGCTCATAATCTATACAGGGCCTCAAGCCTCCGTCCTTCTTGGCCACGAAGAAGAAGCAGTGTGGTGGTAAGCGGGATGCCTGTTTCTGGCAAAACACGTCTCTAAAGGGGGCATAGCAGGCTGGAATGTCTATGGATTGCTTCTCGACGGGACTCTCAATGGAGGTTGAATTTACTGGGAGGACTTCTGGGAGTTTCTTGGATGGTGATGGAGTCACAGGGAAGCAGTCTGGGAAGCAATCCTTGCCCCACCTCAGAACTTCTCCCGTCTTCCAGGACAGAATGGGATTGTGCTTTACCAACCACGGGCGCCCTAAGATGATGTCAGCCGTAGAGCCCTCCAGAACCAAAAGATGAATGTCCTCAGAATGAAGTAGGCCCAGACGAAGAGTGAGGGGCCCCACGCGATAGCGGACATGCCTACGGCATAGTGGTGTTCCAGTTATTGACTGAACTTGGTAAACGGTTTCCGTGGCGGTAGCTTGTAACTTGAGCAGGAGGTTGTGGCGTGGACTGATATCGCTGCTAGACAGGACTGCATGCGGCTGGAGCATCGGATGGATAGCTGAATGAATTTTTCCAATCCAAATGAGTCATTGTATGCCGCGAGCTGTAACCGGAGCTGTGGCTCCAGCCCCTGTCGGTAGGTAGTCAGCAGCGATCTCTCATTCCATCCACTTGCCGCAGCGAGAGTTTGGAGCTTCAGCGAGTATTCGGCAATTGACATGGTACCCTGTTGTAAATGATAGAGTTGCTCTCCCACAGCGGCATCTCCGTCTGTCCTTCCAAACACCTCGCGAAAATGCACCAGGAAGTTCTGCAGATCTTGAATGACGGGGCTGGCCTGAGCCCAGATCGTTTCCGCCCATTGCAGTGCAGGTCCTGTTAGCAGGGAGATAATAAAGGCAATTTTTGAGGTGTCAGTGGGATATGAGTGCGGTTGCATTTCAAATGTGAGATTACAATGGAGGAGAAATCCGTTGCACTGCTCCGCTGAACCAGAGTAGGGCACCGGTCGGGCCATGGGACTAGCGATGATGGTAGGCGAAGAAGTGCTGGTTGGGATGGAGGAGGGGATGGGTGGTGATGGCGGCGGAGCCGGAGATGGTGACGATGCCAGTGGATTA